CTCAGCGGGGCAACTTATGCCTTCGAAAAGCACTACGGCTCCATGGTTGGTTGGTTCAAGGACAAGGTCAACGACTCAATCAAGCGAATCTGCAGCTTCGTGATAGGGCACGTTGATGTGCGAGACGATCTCATTTGGTACAATGGAGGGCTTTTGAAGAACAAAAAGGTTGACCCGAAAGAATTCGGGCTCCCGACTCATACCCTGGTCGACGGGACGTGGGAGAAGGGCGGGGACCGAACCCAGATGAGCTGCATGGTTGGGCACAACGTCAAACCCCTGAGTAAGGATGCGGAGTGGATTTTGAATAGCTCCATCGCCTTGGCACAAGAGCTGGACAAGGAGTTTGGCTATGTTTAGGTTGCGGCTTTGCGTCTACTTTGTCATAGCCTAGGATTGGCTAAAGTGTTGCATCATACCCTTAGAATCGTTGTTTCCTCTTGTTCATTCCCGTATGTATTATTGAGAGAATCGGAGTACTAGATTGTTATGTCGTGTAGAATAGATTATTCTGGCATTGAAATTCTTGCTTCTACTCTCCGTCGGGTTGTAGTTAATCGAGATGCTTCTGGAATATCTTCTCTCACCGACAAAGGTTCTAACGTCCCAAGCATCTTCTCCAATCTGATTTCTCCTTCCACAAAAGTACCAGTCTTGGGACCTTCATCACACACAAGAGTGGATACAGCTCAGTTTTGAGCATGATTAAGTAGCAAGCTTCCTTTCTCTTGCCTTGAGAATTCGGAAACCCCCCCCCCCCCTTCTTTCCTGTTTGCTGAGTTGGCTCTATGCGGACCGAATCGAGATAACAGGTTACGTCTCAACCTCAACACCTGTCAATATACGTCACTATCAACGTTACAGAAGTAAGGATGGACATCATGGCACCGGAATGAAGGAACCATGTGATGTATATCAAGTTTACCTTATATTCGTTATCGCCCACGTCCATTGTCCAAATATCTTCCTACTCATTATTCGATACGTTTACCATTGACTAGCAGCCCTGAAGCAAGTTTACCTTCATCCTCGGGTTCAAGCTTCAAAAGGCACGGGATCCAGACTTGAAGAAGCGTTCATTTAGAGCTTTAATGCCATTGCCTGAACGTAGCAGCGAAGTAGTGCGCGTTGATTGATTATACCTCAATCACACTATCACATTTCTTGGTTGCGAGTACTGGCTGCATTCCGGTCTTCGTCTTGCAGAAGTTGTCAGTAACGATGTCATGAAAGACGAGCATTACTGTTTGGATGCTATGCGTGAGACGAACCCCGAATATAATATTCTCTACCCTTACTTCCTGTCGTAACTATGCGGTCACCGGTTCCCGCGTCACTGGATACATTGACTTTTATCCCTTCCTAGAGGTATCCAACAAGAGCTTTGGTTTAAAAAGCTACTACCAATCTATACCGCTAAGAACCTTTATATAATACTACAGTATTCGGCGGAGATTCTCCCGAGGAGTTCTCCAGCATTGAAAAATTGACTGGTTCGACAGATACAACATCAAATCCGTGGCAAATGTGACGGTAGTTTCATTGCGACCCATTAGACACATCTTTCATTCATTGTATATACAGGCTTTCACAGCCATGAAGTTGGAATTCTTTTTTCAGGTAAACGACGCGTGGCATAAGATCTTGTCTCGCGACAGCCTCCCATTGTGGTGAGGTCTATTCGTCTTAACTCCCCAAGATCACAAACTCCTAGCCTCTTTTCTGGCCAGACTCCAATTTGGAACGTATCAAATGTCAAGCTTCATTGCTTCTTACGGTTGATGGAGGATGTTTTGCCGGTCTTCATGAACCGGTGGGACCTAGCAGGTCACTTCCCAAACACATTCGAGTCAAGGCGATGATGATTGGAGGGTAGGTGTCATCTGCAAAGCATAAGGTAGCAGGGAAGACACCGTCTAGAGTAAGTCTACTAGTGTGTCTGTGACATAGCCAAATTATCTTGTTACGGACACGATAACGGTAGTCGGAAACAACCGTGCCATCGCATGAAAGTTTCGGACATCCGGCCGACAGCATTGCGCGCGTAGAGGCCTTCGCGTGTGCCTATCGCCGATTCGACAAACCACGGAACCGAGGCATTTTCTCACAACAACGTACATCAGACGAAATACAGTATCATTTTCGACAGTTCTGGAACCTGTGCGGAGCCTTCGGCAAGGGTAATGAGCCAAATTACTTGCGATTTTCGTCATACACGGCGAACGAAACATGCGGGGTGATTAGACTACTAGCTTTTCACAACGCCAAAGGCTCCTCTATCGTCAAGAACTGCTTGTCAATAAAGGATTTTCGAGTTGAGTCTTGAAAAGCTCCGCCAACGAGGAATGTGTGAATAGCATCACCATCCGTAAGATCAAAGATGTACAATGTTCTCTTCAACCAATATGAGCTTAACTCTTGCGGCGGAGATTTCTTGTTTCCGAAGGGGAATCATTGATTGCGGTATCAAAATTCAAGGTATGCGGCACCTCGAGATGTATAAATCCGAACTAGTCGGGAGGAGCACACTCTCCGAGGATGCCAAAGTGAAAAAGTTTTATCGGTAGATCTACCGATTTTCTAGACAGGCCTGCGTCCCGGCGGGCGAATGATGAGGCTCATGTCGAATGTTCAGATGATTGGTGTACAGGCCACCCATCACCGCCCGTTTTAGACAAAATACCGAAAACCTGCGTCTGTTAGCAGCTAGACATGATGTCACGAAGACGGAGGGAGAGAAAAGACAGGAAACAAAGTTTTGTCAGTCAAACGGCCATCATCTGAAGGCCATTTTCTCCGCCACCCCCCCTCACAGCCGAGGGACCCTTATGATGGCGCAACGTAGGTGTTCTGCAACCCGATTGGAGAACTTTGAGCAAGTGATCGAGCTCTTGATGAATGCTACGGGTGTAGAGCCCAAGTAGGACCCCTCGGCACCTTCAAACGTTCAGCCGGTCTAGACATGTCGGCATGTCATCATAGCAAACGACGTCAGTATCCCGCCGGTCCGGAACCACTCGGGCAAGGCTGGTTTTGCAGCCTCCGATTCATCGATAACGTTGCCAAAACAACTTGGTCCTGTGAAGAACGATCGAGACATAAGCTTGATCCGTAGTGTCGAATTGACCGGGGTCATCCATTGTCCGTTTTCCGCGACTACGAACACACTAAAACACCACATCAAAAAAGAGATATATACCTTCGAGCCCGCCCGCTCCCAAACCAAACACCTTCTATTTCATCAAACCCACAAGATTCTCAGAAAACACTTACAACAACCATGAAGACTACCTCAGCCCCCGCACTTGCTCTCATCTTGGGATGGACCCAAGTTCTCGCCAGACCTGTAAATGATCCAAATATCGACGTTCGCGATGCTATCACCAACGCTTCACCCATTTCGGTTGAATCGCGACCATTGGAGCCTGACCGTCAAGCATTGAATCCATTCCTAGGCGAGGATATGAACTCCATTAAGAACGACAACCCCGATTCTAAGACCAAGATTTATCCGAAGAGATCGGAGAAAGACGCGCCCTACTCTAGGTCTGAGAGAGATCTGAAGGCCAGCATCTATATCCCGAAGACATTCTCGGCATCATCGAACAAGCAGCCCGTCATTCTAGTCCCAGGCACCGCTGCGATGGCTGGTACGACATATCGCGCGAACCTCGGCCCTCTGCTGGCCAAATCCGACTTTGCCGACCCCCTCTGGGTCAACATCCCCGATGCCTCGCTAGACGATGCGCAGGAGAACTCAGAGTATGTCGCCTACGCTATCAACTACGTGCAGGATATGACTGGCAAGAAGCCAGCCGTCGTCGCTTGGAGTCAAGGAAACCTCAACGTGCAATGGGCCTTGAAGTACTGGCCCAGCACTAGAGACTCGGTGACCGACCTGGTCTCAATGAGCCCCGACTTTCACGGAACCAAGGAGGCATTCGCGGCTTGCAAGACTCCCGCCGCTATCATTGGCTGCACTCCCAGCGTCTACCAACAGATGTATGATTCCAAATTCGTCCAGACCCTTCGTGCAAACGGAGGTGATAGTGCCTACGGTAAGTTCACATATTCGTAAATCACTTGGTCCAATCCTCTAATAAGTTCTACTTAGTTCCCACCACTTCTCTTTTCAGTGCAACGGACGAGGTTGTTCAACCGCAATCAGGACCCATCGCCTCGGCCATCCTCAAAGACGGCAATGGTGTCGAAGTTAGCAATATTGAGGTTCAGAAAGCTTGTCCCGCTACGCCTGCTGGTGGTGAAGTCACCCACGAGGGCATGCTCTACAACTCACTTGCATTCGCCCTCCTGAGAGACGCTCTCACCAACGAGGGCCCCGGCAAACTCGACCGCATCGACAAGAAGATCTGCGCCGATCCTGCTGCCGGCAAGCTCGACGCCCTTGAGATCCAGGCAACTGAAGCTGTCCTGGTGGACGCCGGGGCGAACGTGCTTGCCTACCCCAATAAGGTCAGGCGTGAGCCCGCTATCAAAGACTACGCCAAAGTCTAAGCATCATAACCATATTATTGTCAGCGGGCTGGCGTGTAATATTCTTGTAAATTATTTGTACACTATTTGTCAACAGTACTTGTGACGATACACGAACTAGCGAGCAAGCGAGCATATCAGCGCATTAACATCGACATGGCTTTGGCGTTGCTTAAGTTCTAGAAATAAAAATCTGATTTTTTGCTTTATAACCATTTGAGAACGAGGTCGAACCTTGCCCTAAAGTGTGTCTCGCAGCGTATTTCTAGCATCAGTCCCTGTCAGATTCATTACTTCTTACCTTTAAATTGTGATTAACGCGTTCTATTCCTCAAAACTAATCATCACGTTGTACCCATGCCAGTCCCAAATGTTATGGTAAAAATTTCTTTATATTGATGGGAGCAGAGAATGTGATGGGACGTAGGAAGATTCTGCGAAAACGATCTGCCGAGGTAAGGCCAACCACTCGGCCCACTCATCTCCCAGGTGTTGGCAGATAACATTCAACAGATATGCTCCTGAATCGCCAATCTGCCAAAGGTCCCGCGCTAGATGCAGAATAGAAGCATAATAGGCCAAAATGGCTATCGCTTCAGGCTTTCTTTCGACAAGCTTCCTATTATATTCCTCTGATACCATCAGTGACCAGGAAAAGACCATCTGAATCAAGTACTTCCGACCCAGAAATACCCTGGTGTCTAGGTCATCTAGTGCAACCTGTATAAGTTCTATAGCAGACATGTAGATCTCCTTCTCGGCGGGCGAAAGGTTTGGTGATGCAGAGATCAAGTCCAGGATGTTGTCACAATCGGGACCGACGCCTTTCAGTCGACTCAGACCCAGCCCCCACGACATCAAAGGCACGAGCTCCGATGTCTTCAACAATGCCCAGGCGCGACTGACGATTACTCTAACACCTCTCCGGATCCTAGCAAAGTTCACGTAGCAGTCAATGAAAGGATCCAGGTTGGTGCTGCGGAATGCAAGTGCGTCGACGCAGAGGTGACGGCCGAGGATGGCGGAGAACAGGACCAAGGGGACGCAGCTGGGCTCGTCTATCCGCGCCTTTTGAGCGTTGAATAATGATATCGCTCTTGTTTGTAGCTGAACTGCGTCGTGTAGGAATTCCATTGCGTTTTCTGGCTCGAGTATCGACATATGCCGAGCAGACAGGGCGAGGATCTCGTGCATGAGGTACGGGGCATCGGACCCAGTCTTGAGGATGAGCTGGGTATTTCGTTCGATGAGACTCGGGTCGAGCTCGGGCACGGCGAGTGCTAGAGAAAAGTGCACTAGGAATCTCATGTGCGCCATGTTGATTATATTATCCGATAGAGTGGGAGTGGGCTGGCCCATGTCGCCGGTATACACTATCAGGTGGGCCAAGTCCGGAGTCGGGATGACAGCGGGGCTCCTCCCGGTCGGAGATCCGTACGGCGAATCTGGCTTTGATGTTCCGGTATCTGACAGTACGGAATCCTGCATGGATTCATCGCCACGCGTAGAACTTGCTACAGACCCTGGATCTGCAGCATATGGGAACACGCATGTGCGGTCCACCATCGTACAGTTGACGCATCTTGGCCGAGTCTCATCGCACTGCTCATCCGATTAGTCGACGTCTTCAGCCTTACAACGCCCGTCGGCAGGTACGCGTAAGGTACACCGTTTACGTGGAAACTGACACGTCCAGCTTACCTTCATGTGGCGCCGTTTGCACTCGGCACACCCCTTCCGGGACTTCCTATGGGAGCGTCTGTACATGGTTGGCCCGATCGATGGCTATACCAATGTACGCTTATCGGCTCGAATACCGGCTAAGTTTGATGCCCACCCCTTGGAACCCGTAGCCCCCGAATGCTTCAAAAGTCGCAGCGTACCAGGTCGATAACGTTGTCAACGGTGAAGAGACATAAAGGCGACCATTGAGGTTTTTCCACTTGACTGAACACTTTGGCCGGTGAACAAACTTTAAAGAATCCACACGGCTAGCTAGGCATACTCGCCCAACTTCTCTAAGCCATGATGCTTTACGTACGTCGACCTCAGCCGCGATTTGTTTTTCTAGCTGCGCCGGGTTTCACGGGCGATCCGTGGACCATATAATTAGTCTGTCCGACTTTATGCTTAGTTTCGCCCCTAAAAGCTTTGCGATACGTGTATTCGGAGACCGCCGGGCCAATGGTTGACTATCTTTAGGGCATGACCCACCCTTGGAATACGTGTATTCGCTTTTACCTCGGACCACTCACCACCAAAGGCTCCCAAGGCTGATTTCCAAGTTTGATTCGTTACTAGAACTCGCAGGGGGCATTACATAGATGGCGAGGAACTGTATTAGGGCACGTCCATGCTTTTTCTCCGTACTCTTTACACCGTCATGCCATACGGTCTACGTACAGCATGCCGGTAAAGACCTTTGCCACGTTCCACGCCCCAGCGGCCCGCACCCGTTCACCAGGATCTCGCTAGAGCATTGCTCGGTGTCATTAACATAAGACAGGTGTCAATGACATGAGCTGAAGGGAGTCTTTAGCCTGCCGGATCGAAAGAAGAAATATGACTGCCGGAGCTTTTGGTCCACATCCCTATCTTGTCCTATAATGGGTCGTCAGAGGTTTCCTCCCTCTTGGTATTGCTCATGCGAAGCTCGACTTTGAGCACATACACATTCACTTGACATGATGCGTTTCTGTAGCGATGAGTATCGAACGTCAGAGAGTTGATGCTACTTTTTTCACAGGAACATTGCGGCTAAATCAGCACACGCGTATGGGCGGAGACAGGAAAGAGCTCTTCTCTAAATCGGCATGTTAGGATGCGAACGTGCCATTTACCCTCAGAAAACTGAGTCACCTGATATCACCAATACGAGGTGCAGAATATGAGGGGGCGCAACAAACTAGCTCAGTTTCGCATTCGAACCTTTTGGCGTGATCAAGCCTGTCATGAGAATGCTGGGGACAAGACGAATCATCAAATAATAGCAGAAAGAATCTAACGATCATGTACTCTGCTTTTTTAATATGAATATTGTACTGAAATGATGATTATTTTGGTTTTGGTTCCCGGTGCTCGATCAACTCAAACGTATCTATGCTTCGTATTTCGTGGCTCGGCCTCATGAGTCTCCCAGAAACTCTTTTCTCCAAATTCAATCCCTGGATGTAGAGCTCGAAAAGCCACGTGGGACTCTCACTCAATTCCCAATAGCTGGCCACATGCGAGCCTGTCAACTTGCTTGTATGCTGCTTATTCCTGTGACACTGGAGCAGAAGGCTCTCGGTCGGTGGAACTATGTCGGAAAGAAATCAGCCAGTGAACCCCTGTCAGCAAGTTAGCATGCTGTTTTGACACAGCAGTTGCGTGAGCAAATACGCGCCGATCGCTCCTCGCTCTCGGTGCGAAGCAAATGCTCAACCATTGAACCAACATAATCAGGCACTCTGCAAGGAAAACCACTCTTCAGCTATCATTGACCGAATCGTTGAAGAGAGGGTCAAGGAAGTCGAGTGAACACAACAACAAAGGGGTCAGAAGGACCACCACGGCCCAGGGCCAAGCAAAAGTGCCAAAGTGGACAAACTCCTGCACCCCAACGTTTCCCAGAACTCTACTTGTACCTCCCAGTTCTTTCCGCATCTTGGGATTGTTGAGAGGCTCGAAATTGCAGATCCGTTTGGGATGATTGGTGTGAATGGTATTACCGGTTGAATCTTCAAAGCTGGTTTTCAAATCGGAGAGGACTAGAAGGAAGCGCCGAGCGATTTACAAAGCTTCTTGAGACGTTGGAAAATGATCCTTTCTGAGACTGATATCAGCATCATCTTGAACAAGGAATCACAAGACGTTTTTGAGGGGCGGCAATCGACGGTGCTTTCGCACCTCGTAGATGGCAAATTATCCTTCAGTCCAGATACTCAGGGGCGTAATTCTTTTTGTCACAACGGGCTCGGAGGTCTGCTGAAGAGATTGCAGAAGCAGAGCTGAGGTTGCCGTCTGCGCTGGGAAACAATCAAAGGGGCAGTCCAAAGCGAACGTACCCATACCGCGGTCAAGGACCTCCAACAACGATATCAGCTACTGAATGGCAGAACGGGCGCCGATAATGTTACGTTAACCGCAAGTAACTTGGCACAAGTCAAAGGTACTAGGGACGAACTACATCAGTAGATACAAGACGTGGATAAAACCAGAATTCTAGAGTGCATTCCGCTGGTAAATCACCCTACGTAGCAAAATGACAATTCTCAACAAGATATAAGGACACCAGACAATATCTCATCGATTGTCCTAAATTCAGAAAGCTGGGTACAGGGTGACAAGTATACTTTGTATTGCACTAGCCTTCTAGGTGTCGGTAATAGAGACATACCGTCTATCGTGGTCGACTTTCTCAACATTAACAAACGATTTAACGATGACCAGAACTGAGGTTTGCCGTTTCGATCTTGCAGCGTTGGATTGCAAGATCAACATATTTACTGGGGGAGACTGGGTACTTTACTCAAGCAGCTGTGTCATACTCTTTGTGCACTACCAATGGAGGTATAAGACCGCTACAAGGCCGAAAGAAAGCACAAGGCGCGACCGTCAACCGCCGAACTTATGAATTTGCTTCGGGGTGTGGCCGATCCGCTCGACAAAGTTTCCATCGCTGTCGATGCGCTCGATCAGCATCACGCCAGCGACAGTCTTCTGGATACGATCTTGGACTTACAGACCCTGTGTAACGTAAGCCTCTTTACCACGTCCAGGTTCCTTCCCAGTATCAATTTGCGATTCGAACACGACCCAGCTCTGGAAATCCGAACCACAGACACCTGCTAGCTTTTGTGAAGAGAACTCCAGAACCCCAACCCAAAAATGTTGACAAAGATTACCGTGAGTGTTCAGAGAATATAGCCTGTGATCCGTGGGCTGTGATAGCATGAAGTAAAGAGAGTAGCTCGCATCAATTTCCTTCTTATAGGGCTACCCCTTCAGTCAATCTATAGAATGACTTGGGCCGCAGACCGTTGTATGCGAAGGCCCCGGAAGAATTTGTAAGCCGAGCGAGAGATGTCTCCTGTTCTTCTGGAGCTATGTGATGGGCTACAAAGGTCGAAACCTGAAGTGAAATATAAGTGCAGGCGGTGGAGGAACAAAAACAGGACTTGATCATGGCATAGCGGTTCAGAGTCTGCGTTGTAATAGGTGCGGGTGACAGTTGCAGGTATTGTGCAGCAACAAGACGCGAATGAGGAAGCAATTTCCAAGGAAAAACGATAACAATGATTCAACACTAGATAGTAAAGGTAGCTAAGGAAAGTAACAAATGTAGATGACATCAAAACTCCACAATGCCTGACCCAATGATTTCCAATCTCCACTATATCTCCTCTCAACCCCAGTTGTGATCCATCCAAGACCTTTCTCTTCAAGTTCCGTTGAACTGTTTCTCCCAGTATTGTCCCTTGCCAGTTCCCATAGCATTCCCACACGAAATACAAATAAAACTTGTTACAACTCACTCATAACAACTAGTAATAGTAAGGAGACTGCAGAATTGTGGTTCTGATCGCCCTTGTGTCCCGTGTGACCACCATGTTCCCTGTGTATATCCTCCCATCAAGTCGTATCCCATGCCCCCGACTCATACAAGTACAATCCATATCCTCATAAAAGCGCCCCCATTATATCTTTGAAGATATCTCCGAAAAGCACTAACAATCTAATAAACACTACTCAATCGTCTTCATGTCTTCGTAGTATGATGATACCCATAACTCTTTCTCTCTTGTATCTCTCCAAATGTCAGGTGTTGCTCAGTCTCTAGTTGCTCCAGTCGAATCCGACGCAAAGCTTGCTCTTCTTGCACACAGCCTTGGTAAGAGTCTGGATGCTACCACTGCTCAACAACTCGAGAACCTGCATATTGGCCTCGAACTCGCGAGTGATGAAGTTACGAATCTCGATAGCGACAAGCGAGTCCAGCGGGTAGTGCGACAAGCTGCGAGTGACGTCGAGATCCTCAATCTCCATCATCAGAACGGCGGCAATCTTCTCGACCAAGCCGCGGCAGACGACCTCCATGGCCTCTGTCTCGCTGCGTGACGCCTTGAGGGCGGCGTTGAGAGAGACAGCACCGTTGGCACCGGCCTCGGCGGCGGCAAGCTCCTCGGCAGCCAGGCGGAGAGCCTTGAACTTGGCATCGGGAGTCCAGAAGGGCTGGATGCTGGGCGTGATACGCATACCAGTGATGACGTGGTGGTTGCAGACGGAAGTCTTCTTCGAGATGGATGCGCCGATGAGAGCAAGCACCTCAGCCTCGC